CACTTAATTTACGGCATGCCAAGGAGGATGCAGGCTAATATTCGAGCACGTGGGGACAACACACGTTATTAAAAATGCGGCTCCCCAGTTTTTGCTAGCAAGTCGTTTCAGTTTTGATTAATTTAAGGTCATTTAGCGACAGTACCAATTTGTGCTTTTCCGTCTTCGTTTTTTAAATTGTTACAAAACCCTTTTTTTCTTCAAATAAAGGTTCAATTGTTATTAGAAAAAACTTAAAACATGTTGTTTTGTTTTGTTTAAAAACTGCTCCGTTTTTCGTGCCGGTGAGTGTACAATATAATATAAAAAAACTAATTCATGTTGTAATTATGTGAGATTCCTCTGAGATACTCGATCAAATTTTGCCTGTTATAATTGGCCACTTTATTTAAAATCCTCTCGTCGGCTTCCTCGTAACGTTTCCTTTTTGATGCGCCATTGCGCCCGGCAATTGCTCGTTCATAGTCTGCATCGTACGAAGACTGTACCTTTTTTAAATTATCTATGAATGTCCATAACGAAGGATGAGCAATGCCAGAACCAAAAGCCAGTTGCAACTTGCGATGACATGCTTCTGCAAAATTATTTGTCCTATCTCGTCCATTCGATGTTCGAAAATAAACGGACCAAACTGCTGATGGAAAAGTTGCTGGCACTCTGGTTCCATTATTCCTAAGTCGACCGATATAATTGCTGGTAAACCATTCTAAAATTGGTTCTAATATTTCTGGCAACTCATTTTCCAATTCGGCAATGGCCTCAATAACATCCTCTTCTGGGACAAATGCCAATGCTTGTAGTGCAAATTCGGGATTAGTATTGTACATTCCTAGGAGATTGCAAGAAGATAAATGCTTTCGAAGATTTTTGACCAAGTGGAATAAGCATCCTCTAATTTCGGCTTCTGGAAAAACTTGTCTTACGGCCTGGTGAATTGCCAACTCAAAGTCGACACTGATGCTTTCCGGATTTAATTGCAGCCAAAGAACTTTTATCATGTTAAACACATTGAGATATGTTTCTGCACTTTTATTGGGCAGCAAGCAATATAGTACAGGAAAAACTGGACCCTTCTCTTCATGCGTATCTTTTCTTGCCAGAACAACAAATATTTGAGCAAAGAGGACATAATAAGAATGTGCCGTCAACAAATAATTCTTCCATGCTTGCACTCCATGTTGCATGGTATTCTCTACCAAATATTAGAATTCGATGTGGATCCACTTGATCTCTTCCGGAATCTGCCAGCAAAAAATTCTCAAATTGAGTAGGGCTGTAATAATATTGCGAGTACACTTCTGGGATGATAATTTCACTAAAAGTTTCTGGATTGGCGGGTGCTTTGCACATGGTTACTCTTACTCTTTGAATGTTTCTCCGCATAACACTGGAACTTGGAAGCATTCCTTTAACCGCAGCTGGTACATTCTCCAAAACTCGTCCTCTGATTTGGGCAGGATTCTCCATCGTTGTCGCGGCCAGGTGCTTCACAGTGGTATTCATTTTTTGCAGAACAACATTTGCTGCATTTCCTACCGTACTACATGTGTGTTCATTTCGTATACATTTGAACGAACCATCCATAATATTGATCCATATTCATCCTTTGCATCTTTCATGCTTGTTGTCGCAGCGCCAGAATTGAATGGTGTTGTTCTTATTCGTTTTATCCTTCGTGTATAGGTAGCCATCCCAGTAGTACTTTTCGTGACCCCTTTGGCTAAGAACTTTATTTTCCATCTTGAGTCTCAGTAAATAAAAAACTCACACAGACAAACAAAATTACACACAATGTCTTTACTTCTGAGATGAATTTGGAATATTAAGGAAAGTGAATATCACCAGTCTTTTATAGGATGTAGGTACAAGTAAGCAGGTAATTATCAGGTAATCTTATTTTTATTTTGTTTTGAAAAATCTTAAGCTCTTAAGCAGGCAATTATAAGGTAATCTTATTTTTATTTTGCTTTGAAAAATCTTAAGCCCTTAATATTTATTTGCTTTCGAATACTAGGTATTAAAAACCCTAATTGTAGTTAACACCCTTAATTGATTTTGTTGCCACCTTAATTTTGTAATTCCAAACAACTCTGGCCATTAAATTTTAATTTCTTAATCAAGAAGTTGCTTTTTCAGATTCTTAGTTTTAATATTTAATATATTTTTTTCTGTATATGTTGATTTACTTTAGTAATAATAACTTTTTTCCAGTTTCTTATTTAAAATCTCTTATATATTTTTATTTTATTAATCAAATTCTCCAATCAAATTTTTTTTATAGGTTGTATCTTATTTTGTATTATAATAAATAATTGAATAATATATTATTGTATTCCTTTTCGCCGAGTTGATCGTCGCCGAGTTTACCATCGCCGAGATGACCATCGCCGACTCGGCATCGCCGAGTTGACGTCGCCGACTTTACATCGCCGAGTTGACCTGCTCCGATTGAAAGCCCTGTTGTCTTGAAAGGGTTTGGAAAATTAAGCCGATGTTGAACAAAATTTTACAGATATTTTTTATCAAATCTCTCGGTATAGACGATTTCTTTTATATCCATATTTCAAACCAAAATTTAAATAACTTCTAGGAAGAGGGACAATATCAAAATTAATTCATCTCCTTATTTTTTAGTCCTCCCCAAATCAGATAGTGGTTTTCGATCTGTGTTAAATTTAATACAGCTTACTGAATATATTTTAGCACCTCATTTTAAAAAGGAGGACTACAGATCTGTATTAAAGTTAATAACTATAGATTGTTTTATGGCAAAAATCGATGTGAAAGATGCTTAAATACAAAGAAATTCTTTCTTTTTTTTTATTACACTCTCCAATAGATTTGCAAACAATTACCGGTTGGAACCATAAGTACATTATATAAATACCTAAATACAATAAAATTAGATAAATAAAATATAAATTACATAAATGCAATAAAATTACATGAATACTATTCTAACTACATTGTTCCATTGAAAAGAAAAAAACAATCAACACGTGCATCATGGGGTTAGCCTATAGCAGGATATGTTCCCTCTTGTTTGAAGGAAGCTACGCTGGACTGATTCTAACTTATATAAATACTATAGAATGGAGCCCAGATGACAGAGGAATATTCAAGTTTGGATCCGACATAAGTAAAGGGGCTATATTCATTTAAGCGCATTACTTATGTAAATGAACATGGTAAATCGCTAAGGTTCATTCTGCTATTTTTTACGGTGACGTCACGCGTCGAGAATCTTATCAGTAACTAACTTGTCGATCCACCAACTCTCATTCCTTAACCAGCTACTACAACAAGTGGTATATATTATTATAAAATTAACTTATATCCAGGGTGTCGTTCCTGCTGCTGGTTTGGAATGAGAGGTTTTTTATAAAGAATATATTTTTTTTATACTGGGTGCTGCTGCTGTTGTAGCTGCTGGAACAAAAACAATGTGTTTTTGCGACAAGCTTGAAAAGCCAAAAGGGCCTTGGCATGTTTCTCGGATACTACTGGTCCGATTCAAACGGGAAAAACGGAACTATATTGAGAACGTGGTATACAGTAACGTTGAAGAGAAAAAACATGAGTAAAGCCAGAATGGCCTTAGCGTGTATCACGTGGTCCTATTTAAGCGGGAAAAACGGCATTATGAAGAGAACTCGAAAACGTCAAACAGAAAAAAACATGCGAATGCCAGAAGGGCCTTAGCATGTATCACGTGGTCCGATTCAAACGGGAAAAATGGCGTTATGTAGAGAACGATTAACGTCGAATAGAAAAATCATGCGATTGCCAGAAGGGCCTTAAACTTGTATCCTTATTTCTGTTGGTCCGATTCCAATGGGGCAGACGATATTTAGCGTGAACTGTCATCTAGCTGTAATTTCTAACGAAAGAATTACCATCAAAGACAAAAGGGCATTAACGGATAATTGTTGTTGATGTTTACCTTGAACTGTTATCTGGGTGAAATTAATATATCAATACTACTTGACATACTAATAATGAATTTGCCAATCGTTGTGCCTTATTGAAACTTTTTGAATTAATGTCTCCAATTTCTGTAATTTTTGAGTATGTAATGTAATGCAACGTGCTTTTAATGAATCTGTTATTCAAACGTCATTTTAAAATTGATGACGAGCTAGAACTACGTGTGATACATCAAATATGGTGGCATATCTTGAGGTGGGTGTATAAGTTATTATTTAGTTGAATAAAGTAAAAAGGTGCTTCAATATTTTTTCTTCGTATCGAGAGTATATCCAGCATAGAATCTTGGACACCAATGCTTTTTAAATGAAAAACGTGTAGTTCACTCTGGACAGTAGAGTGCGGTATGGGCATTTAAGTGAAGATTGGACAAATATTGCTAATAATTTAAATGAGGATAAGTTATTTGTAATAGGGTAAAGTCAACATTGGACGATGAAAATAAAAATATATTTTGTTTCAAAATTATATTTTTGAAGTAACAGTATTAAGTATTTAAAGTAACTCAATGAGTTTTAAAATTGTCTCTCTTTGACGCTCAGCTTTTTTATTTAGGCTCATTTTCAGTAAACTTGCGCAGTAGTACAAACGAACGTGATGTAAGTGTCGTTGCGACACACGTTCACGTGAACGATTACATCACGTATGTTTGTACTACTGCGCTTGCGCAAAAATCTTGGTGGTGTAGTAATGAATTATTTGTTTAAAGTATTGAGACATTAAAGACTCTTCCAGTCTACATTTTCTACGAGTAGCTTCTCTAAAAATAACAAAAAAATGTCTACTGTCAAAAATTGATTATTTGACTCTCTTGAATCTAAATGAAATTAACGCTTTGTCGCCTCAGGAAAGAATGGTATCACTGAATATTAAATGAAAAGGACTTTAATTTACTTGCTTGTGCTCGAAATATTAAATGGTATTCTATTTGTCGATGTCGTCTAATACCAGACGATGGTAGTAGAGCACATGAACATCTTCATGCTTTAATACATTTTACTAAAGGAATTACAATGTTAGCCTACAAGAAAAGACTACAGCGCACTGGTACACGACTCCATTCGAAAACAACTTTTAAGAAAATAATTTGCTTGGATCATGCTGTTGGTGTCCTCAAATACATCGCCTGTGCTGATGGACAGAAGCCGCTTAGAAGGGATGGAGATGGTCTTAGAGGTACACCTCATTCTCATTACGATAGAAGAGCATTCAAACAAGATTTGTTACATTCTAGACGAAAACAGTATGGCTTAGTACGTACAGAAATTTCAGAATTAGCATTTGAAGGTGTAAAAGACTTAGAAAAATACACGTCTGAACACGAACTTTATGATAAATCTACATGCCGAAGGAATAACGCGGAGGGAAGAAGCTAACGAGAAACGAAGACAATTTTACAAAACAGAACGGGGAATGAAAATTAGGAATAATTACAAAAAAAAACAAATTAAGAAAAAGAAACTAATTACAAGTTTACTGAAAATGGGTCTTAATAAAAAAGCTGACCTTCAAAGAGAGACAATTTTGAAACTCATCGAGTTACTGTAAATACTTAATGCTGTTACTTTAAAAATATAATTTTGAAACAAAATATATTTTTATTTTCATTGTCCAATATTGACTTTACCCTATTACAAATAACTTTCCCTCATTTAAATGATTAGCAATATTTGTCCAATCTTTACTTAAATGCCCATACCGCACTCTACTGTCCAGAGTGAACTACACGTTTTCCATTTAAAAAGCATTGATGTCCAAGATCCTATATAATTAAAGCGTTACTTTAAAAAAAATTTAAAATCTACTTACTTTTAAACGACACGTCTATTCTCTATGCTTGATATACTCTCGATATTAAGAAAAAAATATTGAAGCACCTATTTGCTTTATTCAACTAAATAATAACTTATATCCCCACCTTAAGATATGCCACCATATTTGATGTATCACACGTAGTTCTAGCTCGTCATCAATTTTAAAATGACGTTTGAATGACAGATTCATTAAAAGCATGTTGCATTACATTACATACTCAAAAATTACAGAAATTGGAGACATTTATTTAAAAAGTGTCAATAAGGCACAACGATTGGCAAATTCATTATTAGTATGTCACGTAGTAATGATAACAGTTCAAGGTAAACATCAACAACAACGATCCGTTAATGCCCTTTTGTCTTTGATGGTAATTCTTTCGTTGGAAATTACAGCTAGATGACAGTTTACGCTAAATGTCGTTTGCCAAATTCGAATCGGACCAATAGAAATAAAGATATAAGTTTTAGGCCCTTCTGGCAATCGCATAATTTTTTTATTCGACGTTAACAGTTCTCTACATAATGCCATTTTTTCCATTTGAATCGCACCACGTGATACATGCTAAGGCCCTTCTTGCATTTGCATGTTTTTTCTGTTTGACGTTTTCGAGTTTTCTTCATAATGCCGTTTTTCCCGCTTAAATCGGACCACGTGATACACGCTAAGGCCATTCTGGCTTTACTCATGTTTTTTCTCTTCAACGTTAATCTATACCACATTCTCAACATAGTGCCGTTTTTCCCGTTTGAATCGGACCAGTAGTATCCAAGAAATATGCTAAGGCCCTTGTGGCTTTTCAAGCTTGTCGCAAAAACACATTGTTTTTGTGCCAGTAGCTATAACAGCAAGCACCCAGTATAAAAAAAATATATTCTTTATAAAAAACCTCTCATTCCAAACTAGCAGCAGGAACGACACCCTGGATATAAGTTAATTTTATAATAATATATACCACTTGTTGTAGTCGCTGGTTAAGGAATGAGAGTTGGTGGATCGACAAGTTAGTTACTGATAAGATTCTCGACGCGTGACGTCATCGTAAAAAATAGCAGACTGAACCTTAACGATTTCCCATGTTAATTTACATAAGGAATGCGCTTGAATGAATATAGCCCCTTTACTGAGTTGTAAAGTAGCTGAAGTGTAAGGAAATCATTGAAAATTTTTGAATTGCAAAAGACGAATCCTAAGGACTTACATGATTCACGCGTTTGCTTTTGCATATGTTCCGAAAAAAGGTAGTTTTGTGTCAAACCATACCCCAAGATCTTTGATTAATTCTGATCTCTGTATCGATGTAACATTAAGCAAATAATTATCTCTAATAATACTTTGTTTTAAGGAATAACTAACGACATGGCATTTAGGTTTAATAGGAGCCGATTTTTTACACACTATTCGTTAACCTTGTTTAAGTCAGTTTGCATTTTCGCAGTGTCACATGCATTTCTAATTTTATAGTAAAGTTTAAGATCGTCTGCATAGAGTAAACTATTAACTTTTAGATCTTTTAGATGTACCCCATTAAAAACAACGAATTAATAAAGCATATATCACTATTAAAAAATAAATCGGCAAGTGGCCTGGATGGATTATCGGTAACTACAATTAAAAATATACACCCTTACATCTTAAACTCGTTAGCACACATTTTCAACCAAATATTAACCACTGGCAAAATACCAATATCATTTAAAGAATCTGTAATAACACCCGTCTATAAATCAGGAAAAAAAGAACTAGCCACTAACTACAGGCCTATATCAGTCATAAATAATATTTCGAAGCCTTCTGAGCAATGTTTAAAAAAAAGGTTTGTTGAATTTATTAAACAAAACAAAATATTAAGTACAAGTCAATATGGTTTTAGGAAAAATCTTTGCTGTCAAGATGCGCTTCTAGACTTTGTGCAAAATATTATTAATGGTATTGACAACAATAAAAAATGCCTAGCGATATTCTTAGACTTAGCCAAGGCATTTGACACTGTTGATCACAGATTGTTGTTGGAAAGATTAGAAATAATAGGTATAAGAGGATTAACGTTGGACCTTTTCAGGGACTATCATCTATCACAGCGAACCCAGTTCGTTAGAATTGGTAGCCTACTTAGTGACCAAATGACCGTTTGTAGGGGCGTGCCTCAGTGAACGGTACTTGGCCCAATTCTTTTTTTAATATACATTAACTGTATTTATAATAATAAAAATATAGGAAAAATTATTTCTTATGCAGATGATACTGTCATCTATAAAGGAGAGAGCTGGAAAGAAGTCTTTCTAAAAGCTGAGGATGGTTTGAGTAAGATAAAGATGTGACTTGATAATAGTCTTCTGAGTCTCAATGTCCCCAAAACAAAATTTATTACATTTTCACTAACAAATGCTGATCAACCAAATCAACAGATTTTAAAGCTTCACAATCATAACTGCAATAAAGGACCGATTTGTCAGTGTGTAACGATACAAAAAGAAAATAAAATATTTGGGGTTAATGGTTGATTAACATCTGAGATGGAACGAACATGTCATTTTTTCAAACAAGAGATTAAGAAAACTTATATATTTATTTTATCAAATTTGAGATATTCTTAAAAAAGAACTACTACTACTTATTTATAATGCCTTGGCTGAGTCGCTGCTAAGATATGGCATTCTAATATGGGGTTGGCTTCTAGACAACGCTCTCGATGGGCTGGACTCGACACAGAATACGTTGTTAAAAATATTGTTCAGAAAGGACCTTAGGTATCCATTAAACCTATTATATAAAGAATTAGACATTTTCAATATTAAACAACTATATATTTACCAAACATCTTTATGGGCAATTTCTAATATTGAAAAACTTCCTAAGCTTTTACACACTACTTCCACAAGAGCTCTACTAAATGAGCATATGCCAATTCCTCTTTTTAAAAAAATGCACACCCAAAACTTTATCACGTATTTTGGCCCCAAAATATATAACCTAATTCCTACATACATAAAAAATATTACAAATGAACGATCTTTAAAAAATGAACTTAAAATATTTGTACAGAAAAACTACAGTAAAATTAAGAAGGAAATATTTAATGTTTTATATTAATTTCATGCTACATAATTACATATTCTTCAGTATCAGAGAGTAGCCTTTCTTTTCTTTTTCTTTATTAGTGTTGTATTTTATATTTTTATAATTTTTATTATTTTTGCTATTTTTATAATTTCCGCTAATTTTTATTTTTACAATTGTTTTGATTTTTGTATTTCCATATTTCTCTATCTTTTTTTTTTTGTTGTATTTTAAAATTCTAAATTCTTTGTTTTTGTTTCTATAGTATATACTTAGATATAATTTAAACGTAAAAAAAACTAATATAAAGATTCCGCACACAAACTTTGTTTAGGCGGGTCTTAAAAATTGTTAAAAAAATGTAAATTATTTTAATGAATAAATTTGATTTGATTTGAACTTTTAGATCCGCAATAATATCGTTGATAAAAATAATAAAAAATAATGGCCCCAGCACTGAGCCCTGCGGTACTCCAGAAGTGACCGTGAACTTAAAGGATTTTTCACCAGACCACTTAACTTGTGACGATTTGAAAGATAGGATTCACAAAATACTATCAGTCTTTCAGAAAAATTTAAACTTTCTAACTTGCTTACAAGAATGTTATGATCAAGTTTATCAAACGTTTTAGAAAAATTAGTGTAGATCACGTGCGAGCGAGAATTATTAGTGTCTAAACTGTGTTATGCAAAATAGGTTGGTAGTTGTGGATCTATTTTTTACAAAACCGTGTTGATAATGTGTTAATTGCCCAAAACTTTAGAAAAATTGTTTATTACTATTATAGTCCTATAATTTTCTATTTCATTTTTGTTCTCTTTTTTGATGATAGATAGTAATGACTTTTGATTCTTTCAATACGTTGGAAAAGTTATTAGTTTGTAATGATAAGTTGAATAATGTTTTAAGAGGTTTAAATAATATACATGCACAGTCATTTAGAATGAAAGCAGGAACTTTATCAGGAACTTTATTGGTATTTTTTGTTTTATTTTTTTTTTCAGTACTTCATAAACGTTTTTTGCAGAGAAGTATTCTAGAATTAACATGGCCGTAAAATTGTTAATTGTGTTTGGAGAAAATTAATTTTGAAATAATTTTGCAAATGCATTAGTTGTTTCTCGGTTCATTACAGTTTTGATTATTTTTATATACCCCTAGAATTCTTTAGAGTCTTGTTGGATTTCGCGTTCAGCTTTTTTATAGTAATCTATCCACGATGATTCAAACCAACCTATCTGAGTTCTACGCATCTTACTATCTGGGCTATCAAGGACATAGTCACCGACTTCCCAATTGTTGGAATCCAACCTCGTTTGCAGAATATTTTCAATTCTTCAAACAAAATAAAAATTTTAACAACTTTATTTTGTTTATTATATTAAAATCATACTTGATTTGATACTTACGAACCAACTTTTTGACACCCCTTATAAGTGTATTTTTCGTTATAATAAAGTGTCGCTTACACACA